AGAGAGAGAAAGAGAGAGAGAGAGAGAGAATCAATTAATTGTAATCACGAATGATACAAATAAGGAAAGGGAAAAAAATTGATAAGTTCCGTAATTATAAAACGTATAATAATACATACACACATACATACATTATAACACATTATAATTATTTTACATAATCTATTTTAATACCTAAATTCAGTCAATATGTATACTTACAAGCTATTTCTCCTACCTACATGTAATACACTTCTGCTGATATAACGATCAACAAACGAAATCGACAACTGATCGAATCGATTTATTGATTTATCGCCGCCATTTGTGTGCCGAATGATCAGTCTCTAGTAAAGGGTCTCTAGCTGCAACTGCTGCAAGCAGCTACAAGCTGACCGGAATTCGTATCGTTGGTTACGTGTGGCTCGTATTGTGTCTAACACTTAACTTTAAAAAAATTAATAAAAAGTTATTAGTTACCGATAAAATGTAACTAAATAAAATTAAAAAGTTAGGAGTCTAAAATGTAACTAAGTTAAGTTAAAATTAATTAACTTTTTAACTTTTTAACTGAACTTTTAACTTTTTAATTTAGCGCTACCCAACCCTGGTTTTCAGTAATATTGATTCGAACCTTTTCTGTGCTTTTTGCAGGCATCTGCAGGAGAAATTGCTCTTCATTGACCGTACCAGAACGGCGATATGGGGCTGGAGTTATGGTGGATACGCGACCGGCATGACGCTCGCTATGGACTTAAAAGGTGTCTTCAAATGCGGCATGTCCGTCGCACCAGTCACAGATTGGGCCCTTTATGGTATGTAATTGACAGATAATTGATAGAATTAATGACGCAATACGTAAAGATGTTTGATATGATTATTGCAAAGGAAAGGAAAATGTTTTAGCAACGTAAATCAAAATTATCTTGCGGCAGGATGAATATTCCAAGTAAATCATTAAATTACACTGATCGATAACATAACGGAGTTAGTTTGCGTTTAGCAGTAATAAGTAAAAAATGCAGAAGAATAAGAAATAGGAAAAGCAAATGATCCTGACAAATGAATAAAACGGAAAATATACCGTACTTTATAATTAGCGCAAAAGCTAGAAAGTATTTTCTATCAATAAGGATAGATTTTCGCAACGTTAAGTTAAAGTTACAAAAGAGTTGGTCTATTTAACTAAAACTTAATGCTTTTTCTGACTAATAGATAATTAAAATATAATATTATAAATAATAAAAATATTAAAGTAACTATAATAAATAATTAAAAATTAAATCAAGAAATGGTAGTTACACTTAAATTAATAAAATCTCTGTATCTTATCTCTGTACCGAATTAATTTTCATTGAATAATTTGTTTTTCATATTTTGCTTATGCTTTGAAAAGACACGCTACTGTAACTTTAATATTACTTTCAACTATTTTAAATTCGTGTCAGCATTTACCTCCTTCTGTTAGAACACGAGAGAAAAATACATGTAATTTACAGGATGATGTTAAAAAGACTTATGCGGCGTTACACTTGTGCAATTTCTCCATAAGATATTACACGCCACATAATGGCATAGACCGTTTCTTTTTCGCCCTTTTTTTCTGTACCCTATCCTTCTTAAGGTGACCATGTTAATTGTTTAATTACAGATTCGATTTATACCGAGCGGTTCATGGGTCTGCCGACTGTTACCGATAATCTGCAAGGCTACGAACATGGTCAGCTGCTCAATAAAGTCGAAAACATCAAGAATAAGATGTATTATTTGATTCATGGTACTCTGGATGACAACGTTCATTATCAACAGTCGCTTATGCTCGCGAAGGTGTTGGAACAGAAAGACATACTCTTCAGACAACAGGTACATCCCCATTCTTAATAGAGAGATTGAATTAAAAATTATATCTAAGTATATCGCAAATCTTTTGCTTTTGCAGACGTACACGGATGAAGATCATGGTATTGTCCAGTCGCGAGCGCATCTGTACCATTCGTTGGAGAACTTCCTAGACGAATGCTTTCAAACATCATCATGATCGGAACACAGGATAGTGATGACAATCTAGACGCTGTACACCACCTGCCTCACACTTGTAAATATTTTGTCACGTGTACATAATTTGTGTACGATATGTAATATGAGCGTTTAGAGAGTGTACATAACAATGTACGATTGTTGAGGAAGGATGGGGGAGGGGGGAGGGAGAGAGAGAGCGCAAAATGTGCAAAAAGATGAAATAATTAATTAGGTACCGGTGTCGTGAAATTAAGCAGGGCAGGTCTGTAAAAAAAACATGTTTGATACATTTTTTAAAGTACGTACTCGATCAAATGGTGCGTTGAAGGCCTAATAACGGCATGAACTCCGTCGCTTTGTCGTTCAAACCTCACTAGAATGTATTCTGTATCATTACAGCTCGTACTTACATTCTCAGCACACAGGCGTTATTTGAACATTGTATATTACGATTCGTATAGCACATGTTGTTTCTCAGATGGTCGAATGAACTAATCGACTTGATGTCAACTTGAATAGCAAAAATATAGGGTGCAATCCTCAACAATTTAATTTTTTCGTAATACTCTTTTAATGAGTTCGCAATTTTTATTACTTAACGAAATTTTATTCGTAAGTTTTTACTTACATCGTCAAATTAATGAAGAAACGATATTAATTGGCAAGTTCGTTAATTAATTAACGTAAATCATTCATTAATTTATGCGTCGAAACTTCTTTCTTGGAATTTTTTTCAGATGAAAAAAAGTTTTTTTAATTTACACTAAATTAATCATCTACACCATCAAACATGAATAATAATTTGACCATCCAGAATAACATACTTCATATTTATATGTGTATTAGATTTATTTAGTACATGTACGTATGTTCAATTTATTTTTGTGGTTATTGCAATTACACCTTCTATTTAACAAAATATTAAGTTGACATATCAGAATGTTCACATATATGAGTTCAGTTACCATCTTTATAAATGAGATCTCTGAATATTTTTGCAAAAAATATGGTTTCAGTGTTGCACAAACGCACGGACATATACGTATATTTTACTTTGTGAAAACAAGATATACTCAAACTGTAATAATTTTAGAAAAAGATATAACAGATATATAATTTTAGAAAAAGATATGCTCAAACTGTAATAATTTTTTTATGTAACTTCAAAATAATTTTTTTCATATTACAATTGCAAATAAGATTGTTAAAATACATTTAACGTTTCAACATTTGAAAAATACATGTTTGAAAAATATATGTAAAATAAATTGTTATGTTTACAAATAGATACGTGGAATTGTGAAATTTATTTTAAGTTGATATATAAATTGATTCTTCTTTCACTAATAATATGTTGTTTATCAAATATAGTATATATATATAACATATACAGAGTGTTTGAAAATTATCGGCTAATCGATCACGAGCAAGTAGAACGGACCGAATTGAATCGAAAAATCTTATACCCCTTTGTAGGTTGTGGAATAGTTAACGAGATATTAACGTTTAAAGATACCCGAATAAGCGCGTCCGGCCGGCCTACTGCTGCCGAATATACAACCTACCGTCCCCACCGATCGCACGGCGCGCGGGCCGCTAGGAGTGGGATTTGGGAACTGCCACTAAACGTCTTCAAACGACTCGAACGGCACGCCATCCCCACTCCCAGCGGCCTGCGCGCCGTGTGATCGGTGGGGATGGTAGGTTGTATACATGGTATAAAGACAAGGGTATGCTCATCCCGTGGAAACCCACTGCGCATCTCAACAAGCTTACGTCACATTCGTAAAAGAGAGAAAGAGAGAAGTTTATATGTATACACAACCCCTCTCTTTCTCTCCTTCGAAACGTGACGTATGTTGGTTGAATGTCACGTGGTACCTATATGCGCATAAGCATACCCTTGTTCTTGTATCATGGTTGTATATTCGGCAGCAGTAGGCCGGCCGGATGCGCTCATTCAGTTATCTTTAAACTTTAATATCTCGTTAACTATTGCGCAATCTACAAAATGGTATAAGATTTTTCGATTTAATTCGGTCCGTTCTACCTGCTCGTGATCGATTAGCCGATAATTTTCAAACACCCTGTATATGTATATAGGGTCTGACCGAATAACATGTAAAACCGGACACGATGTGATTCTTTATTAAAAAATAAGCAAAATATTGAATAAACTTTTTCGATCTTCTGCTTAGTTTCCGAAAAAATTGAGTTCGAATATCTACTGTGTACGTACCATATGCTGTTGCGGCTAACAAGGGAACCTCTCGAGGTGTTAAATTCTGATTTTAATGAAACTTGGTGAACTTGTAGCTTACATAAATAGATGAATTTATAAAATATCAGTTGTGGCTAAAAAACGGTTTGAAGGAGTGAAATCATCCCTTACGTGTACAGCGGTTTTCAGTTTATTCCGTTATATCTCGAAAAATATTCGAGATATAAAAAAATGTTTTATACAAAAGTTTTACAATAAAATTATCTCTATTTACTCACGTCAATGATATTTTTTTAGAATAATTATTTAACAATTTTTTTTTTAAATTTTAACAAAAAATTGGTAAATAATTGTTTTAAAAACTCGAATGAATACAGCTGGTTTTTTTGTAAAACTTTTGTATAAAATATTTTTTTATATCTCAAATATTTTTCGAAATATAACGGAAAAAGCTGAAAACTGCTGTACACGTAAGAGGTGATTTCACCCCTTCAAATCATTTTTTAGCCGCAACTGATATTTTCTAAATTCATCTCTTTATGTAAACTAGAAGTTCACAAAATTTCATTAAAATCAGAATTTAATACCTCGAGAGGTTTCCTTGTTAGCCGCAACAGCATACGTACGCAATGGATTTTCAAACCCGATTTTCTCAAAAACTAAGCAGAAGATCGAAAATGTTTATTCTATTTTGTTTATTTTTTCATAAGGAATCATGTCGTACCCGCTTTTACATATTATTCGGCCGGACCCTGTATATACATGTACTTCCTATTTTCCAGATGATAAAATTGAAAAGCAAGAGTATACGCTGTTGTACTGTGAACACTTTTCGACAATAATACTATCAATATAATAGAATCAGACTCCTAAATAATTAAACAAATTAGAGTACTATAAATGGGAAATAGGGGTCTACGCGGTAATTAGTGCGTTAATATAATAATAGACATTTAATTTCTATTGTTTTTCGATTTAGACATACATATGTATAATATTATACGTGTTTTGACTTGATTTAAGTCATTTTCAACGAAATACACAAATAAATATTGTATAAGTAACTGACACGTCAATCACACGTTTGAAATGAGAAATATTGAACATAATTAACATAAATTTTTTATTATTTTAATATTTCTAAATCATATATTTCTAAATCAAAGAGACAATAGAAATTGAACGTATATTATTATATTAACGCACTAATTACCGCGTAGATTCCTACTTCCCATTTATAGTATTTTAATACTATCAATGATGTTCTGGAATATAACAATTAAAGGATTTTCTATAAAACCAAATAAGTCCATTAAAAAAATTTAAATTAAGGCACCAAATCGTTCTCCATCGATAGCGTACGTGGTATCGCAAACGATCTTGTTTTAACAAGAAGGAAACAGAAAACGGGAAATATAAGAGTTTAACATTTGCAAAGAATGTTTTAAGAGTAATTTGTAAAACTTCGTAAATAAAAGGTGAAAAAGTTATTATTTTATACTTTAAATATTTTTTAAGTATTTCCTCTTTTACCTTTATAATTATTAATGTTGTAAAAAAAGGTAAATTTACGCTATTATGGGCTAAATGATTAGTAAATGTAAAATTTCTGCAAGAACCAAACAAGTTCAGAAGCTCTTTGGGAAATTTTTAATTGTTTTCTCAAAATGTTAATCAGAACCTAGAATTTTATTTTTATACTTATGTATGCCCAATAAAAAATTACTTATTATTTATACAACAAACGGTTTGAAGAAGAAATATTGTTTTATTTACTAAAAATATAAACTTTTAGACTTTATGATTTTATGAAAAATCTTTCAATTATTACGACCTACTTGAACGCGTTTACATTTGAAATAGCATCTATCAAATAATAAAACATATTATGATACTTACAATCTCGATAATGGCTCTCAATATGTAAAATGTGCTAAATAATTTTTATTTTAATGCAAAAATAAATTGTCTGAACTCATATATGTTATCTTAAGGCTCTGGAATACTCTGTAAAAGTATAAAAATTTCATGTCTAAAGAATCACTACAATATTAATTACTCCAATACGTGATATTAACGATCACTAATGCTACGCTATAATTGTATATCGTGTTAATTAAACAATTATTATAATAAAAATTATATTATATAAGTATAGTTTAATCAACAACTTTACAACATTCGCCGACGATGTAACTAATTAAAGTATGAAAATCAAAATTTTGTGTACAAAATATGTGGAAGCCAACCAATTATTGACATATATGTATTCAGAAATGTCCTTGAAGTGTAATATACTTCCACAACACTGTTTTAATCAATTGTTATAAGGTTCGTATTTTTTATGAAAGTGCGACAATGTAAGACGCTGTATGATGACTGAAAATTATATATATAGGAAACGATAATTAAATCATACTTTCAGAATTGACGATGACGTACGTGAAAGCAATGTTTTGTATAATCCTGATCTATAGTTAGGTAACATATTATTTTTTGTACCTATACAAACTGTTGCACGTTTCAAGTGAGGCATTTCACTATGAAAAGAATATTGTACAAATAAAAATTTCCATAAAAAGATTATGTAATAAAAGTGTGTGATAATATATGCACAAGTTATTAAAACATATATACTTTATGCTATGGAATATATAATATTTGGGAGTATAATCCCATTTGATAACTGCATTGTTACAAAAATATTGATCTTAATATTATTTCAATATGTAAAATCTTTCAAACAAAAAACGTGCTAATAATAAGATACTATTATTTATGAGATTTTTGAAACTGAGGTAAATTACATGAGATTATTATACAGATCAATTTAAAATATTTAACAGTTTTGTCTTTAATAACTTTTTAATCTAATTCTCCACTTTTAATTTTCAATTAAAAAAAAATTTTATAATAAAATTATTCAAATTCAAGATAGAATCAACTCAAAGTTTCTTCAAAGAGATAGATAGATTTTAAGAAAGATTTTTTAATTCATTATATTTTAATTGTTCGAAAAAACAATTTGTGTGTTTGGTCAATTTAATTTAGTTAAAAATTTTATTTCTCTATTTTAGCTTTACTGTGGGTATACCAGAGTGTTAAGAAAGTGCCAATTCATCACTTTATATCACATTTGTATATCTATAGTTTACGTAATGCACATAAAATTCAATAATTAGTTCAGTGAAACACTTTTTCTTAACGTAAAATAGCATATCTACTTCTTATTATTGTTAGACTATGGGCAAGTATTAATGCTAATATGTAAATGCATACCTAGGATAAGTAAGAAACTAACGATAAACTCTTTATTAAAAGTTTTTTAATACAAGGACCACAACAATTTGA